TCTTTATCGGATTCCGTTATAACCTTATTAAATTATATAAGGTTTATTTTTTTGTTTATTATAGTTAAAAGGATATTTAATAATACCGGAACGACCTCGTTGTTTTTAATAATATCTTCTAGTTATTCGTTATTTTTATAAAGGAGCTTAACGTTAGGTACTTATTAATTTATCGCTAAGGTTCGGGTATTATCCTTATCCTCCTAAATTTTTATTATAGCGAATATTCTAAGTTCCTTTAAGTACTACTTCGCGGCTTCTTTATTATTTTAATAAATTAGGTAATTATCGTTAAAATATCCGGTTTATAAAAGTTACTTATAAAGAATTTCGTTATCTATATTAGGCGTACCTTGTATAGCTATACTAATAGTTCTTAGTTTATTTTATAATTTTTTAGGTTATTTACAATCTTATACTATATGTCCTAGGTTATTATAATTATAATATTTAAATTCTTTTTTAACCGGTCTTTTATTAATAATATTAAGGTCTATTAGTCTACTATATTATCTATAAGACGTTAGTTATTGGGGTTATTATTAATAGTTTCTAGGATAGTTTTATTTTTAAAAACGTAATTAGTAGCGTTTTCTAGTATTTATTTAGGGAGTTTACCTTTTCTCCTTTCTTTATTTATATAGGCGGTTATCGAGCTTAATGGCTAGTTTAATATATTTAAGAAATTCTTTAAGTCTATTTTATTTAAATAGTTTATCCTTAACTTCCTCTTTAAGTCCTTTATAGAATATAAAGATCTTAGCGTTATTTAAATAGTCGAGTTTAGAGTAGATACGTCTAAATTTTATAATATAGAGTAAGGCTACCCCCTTTTAATAGAGATTAATAAGCTCTCGTTTATATTATCGTTCTTTATTAAATTCTTAAAATAAAGATAGGAATATATTTTCGAACCTATATAGTCTTACAAATATACTTTAGGTCTCTAGTTTAAGTATATTTTAGTTACTAGTAATTATAAAGTTTATAAGATAAGGTTCAAATTATATAAGAGCCTTACCTTTTAAAAAGGAGGCTATATAAATAACCTTCTCGACTTTATCTTTAAAGTTAATTTTATAAAAGCGTTAATAGGCTTTAATTTATATAAGGAATCCTTTAAGTTATTTAAGGGTTCTATTAAATATTTAGGGCAAATTAAGTCTAAACTTCTCTCGTCCTTCTTATAGGGTATTAATTATATTAGCGGTAATGTAAAGGGTATTAACCTCCTTAATAAAATACGCTACTTCCTTATTTTTAACTTTAAGCCGAGTAATAATATTATTAAATATTTATTATATATTAGTAATATCGGAATTATTTTTTTTAAGTTTCCTTTATAGGTCGTTATAGACTTTACGGGTAAAATCAAGTTCTTTTTCGGAGTTTTTAACGTCCTTCATTTCTTTATCTAAGGTCTTAGTAAGTATAGGGGCCTTACCGTTAAAGTCGTTAAAAAAGGTAGACGGGGTAGCTTTAAAAGATATCGTCGTTCTTACTATTAGTTAGTTTTATAAGGTTGATTTACTAAATAAGAGTAATTAAAGTATTATACTTAATTAGTTATAGTAAGGTATATTAATAGAAATTAAAGCTACGATATTAAATAATAATATCGTAATCGTAAAATAGCTTTTTAAAAACTATATTTATAAATCGTAAATAGGAAAAGCTTTAGTGATTAATCATAGTCTTATTAAAAGGTTTTTAGTAAAAATAGCTAAAAATAATTATAAAATCTGATATAAAGTTAATTATTAAAGAAGCTATAGAAGTTTATCTTTAAGCCCGGCTTAAATCTATCTTATATATAAGTCCTATATACTATTTAAATAGTTCTTTTATAATCGGGACCGATATTATAATATCGGTTTTATAAAGATAGACTATTTTTATTTTATCGGTCTTATTTATAAATTATTTATCGTCCGTCGGTCCTTTTTATTATTATATAACTTATTTATAATTCTTCCGTTCCGTTAAGGTGACTCTTATATTAATATCCTTATATATATATAGTATATTATAGCCGCTATAGGCCTACGGGGTAGGCCCTAGTCTTAGTCATATATATTGGGTCGTAATACGTTATTAGTCCGTTTTAATCTTCGGTCGGTAACTATTATTCCGGTATATTTCCTTTTTTATTTAAGCTATAACCTCTCTCTATAACTAAAGGTCTTCTTCCTTAATTATAATAAAACTTCCTCCTTATTAAAGACGGTTTTTTTTAACTCTCCGGCGTCGATTAAATAGGTTATTTTCCTCTTAAAATATCTAATTCTCGGATCTTAATAAGGTAATCTAATATATAAACCTATAAGCCCCCTTAAATAAATACTTTATAGCTTTAATAATTAAAATTAAGGAGCTATTTTAATAATAAGTAATTTTATTCTTAATAAATTATAACTATAAAGATATTTTAATTAAGTTATTTAGTATTTAAAAAATCTATACCGGGGGTATTATTAAGAAGGATCGTAGAGGTATTAGAGTATATAACTTTACGTTAAGCTTTAAAAGTATACTTTCTATATTTAAAGGTATAAATCTTACCCCTCTAAATCCTCCCTAAATATTTTTTTCTATAATTACTTATATAAAAGCCCTATAAAACGCTAGAAAAAAGTCCTTTTTAATAATATATATATTACCCCGACGTATCTTATCCTTAATTTCTCGACTATATACCGTTTTTAAAGGCCTAAAATATTTAATATCTAAGGGCTAGAGTAGATAAGATAAATAAGCCAGTATATATAAAATAATAATATTATTCTTTTTATAAAAAAGCTTAAAATCTATAAAATAATAATTTTTATATCCGTTAATAATAAAGAGGTAATATTAACCCTTTTTATATGGTCTTATATACCGTTTAAAATACCGAGCCCAATCTAGGCCTCTTTTATTTATTATTTATCTATTTTTAAATATTATAATAACCTAATTATATAAGAGACTAGATTCCGTATATTAAGTAAAAAGGTAATATTAATCTATAACGATAATATATAGCGGAATATTATAACCTGATAAACTAATAGCCTAAATAATTATAACTTATTTATAATTACTAAGCTATATTATTTTCATATTTAAACGCTTTTTAATATTAATTATAATTATATTAGTTAAGATCTAGTTTATTATAAAGCCAGTTTTATTAAAGTTATAGATATTTAAGTCTACGATACTATATTTCGTAATTATGTTCGTTATAAATAATAACTATGTATTTATTACGTCTAGATCTTTATATTAAGCCCTCTTATAATTATATTTATAAAAATAATATATTTATAACTATATTTATTATTTTATAAAGTTCGAAACCTATTGCTTATTAATATAGGGCATATTATAATTAATAAGTAATTAATTTACTATTTCTTTAATATTATAAAAATAAAAATAAAAAGATCTAATATTTAGGTCAAGAATATACTTAATTAGCTTCTTTTTTTTAATAGTGTTAAATTCCGTAAATTAGGTATATTATTACGTCGTAATAACGTTCCCTTTAATTTATAGCCTAAAGTAATACGGCTAATATTATAGATCTTTATTATAGCCCGAATATTAAAGTTTTAGTCTTTTTAGATAGCCTAAACCGCTAAGTTTAATTAAGTATCTTTATTATATATTATTATTATTTTTAATAGAGAAATGCGTATTATAATAATATAGGTGGTATTATAGCGGCTGGGTAGCCCACTCGCTTGTCTGGCCTACTCGCTTATTATATACGTTATTAAATAAACTTATTAAATAATAATATCCACTAAAGTCGTTATTTAATAGGCTAAAATTTTAATAAAATATTTATCGCCCTATATATATCTACCCCTTTTAAGCTTAATCGAAATTTTAACCTGTTTAATACCTTAATTATTATAGTTTATAAAAGTATACTAATAAAATAATATAATATCTTTTAAAAATATAATATTTAATTAAATAAAACTATAAACGTTAAAGATAACCGTACCAGGTACGATATTAAAATTTAATAATTCAATATTAACTTTAAAATTATATTTTATAAAATTAACTTTATAAAGATACTTTATATTATTCAAAAAATTATTTAAAAGGTTTATGGACCTTAATAGAGAAGGAAACTATTATACTAGATCTAGCTACCTATATAGGTTAATATTAGAAGGTTTTATATACGTTAAAGTAAGTAAAGTTGGCCGTTTAGGTATAGGGCTAGAACTTAAAAGGAATTTATATAATAGAAGGTCGGGCAGAAGTTATTAATAGTTAGGAATATAGTATAATATACCTAGTTTTCCCGTTATATAATATATCGTATATTTTAATACCCCGGCGGACATCTCTACTAAGGGTATATTAATTCTACATTTTTATTCTATACTAATTATATTAATTTATAAAAATTAAAAAATTAAAAAAGTATAATTAAATATTATAATCAAGCAAGATATAAAAGGTAAGTTTAATATATTAAACAAACTTAAATTTAATATTTTCATAAAGTTATTATATAGAAGGGTAGTACTTATTCTTTATATATTATTTCTCTAGCTTATGTAATTAGGCATACACACACTTACATAATATACTATAGATTTCTAGAAAACCTATTTAATATAGTTTATTTTTTATTATATAATTATATTACGCCTATATCTAAATAATGTTATTTAAAATAATTAGTTCGGCCTACTTTTTTTATTAGATTATTATACGGGTATATATTATTACTCCGCTCTTTTATTATATATATAAATTCTTTAAAATATTTTTTAAATTATATAACATATTATATAATATACTATATAATATAAAATATAGTATATATATATATAAATTATATATTATTATACTTATAGCCTAGGTATTAAATATACTATTAGAGGGGTTAGCCTCTATTAACTAGAGCGCTAGCCGCCCTATTATATATATAGAGTATATAAGTACGTACTTACCTACTTATAGTCGCTAATTATAAGCGGTAGAAATAATAACTGTGCCCGGGCTCGAACCGGGTACTTATAGATTTTATATTAAAAATTAAATAAGTATATACGAGTATAGCCTAACTTACACCACTAAGCCACGCAGCCTATAAAGTTATTATAATAATTAAATTTTTTTAATTAGGCTTTATTAAAGATTTATTAAGCTTTAGCTATAGTCTTGTAGCTAGGCTATATTGAGTCTTAGCTATAGTCTTATAGCTAAGTTAGGCCTAGTTAAGTGCCCGTAAATTAGGCACCCTTATAAGATCTTATAATAATAAAAATATTTCAATTAAGAAAGAGATAAAAAAGACAATTACTTTAATATATAAATTTGAATCTATTAATTTTATAAAGCTATTATAAGATTAAAGATTTATTCTAGCTTTAATTAAACTAAAAAATCGTTAAGCGTTTAGCTACATTATAACTAAGTTAATTAATTAATTGCGTAAATGCGCCCCCTTTTATAAGAATATATTTAGTTTTCTTATTATATTATATATTATGTAACTTCTTTTAAATATGAACTTCATTAAGGTTAATCTTTTATACTTATTAAGCTTGGAAAAACCGACTATATAATAACTTCATCATATGTATATATATACTTACCTATATTACATACTTATATTGTATGTCATCTATCGAGCACCGCCTCATAATTAATAGGGTAGATTAAATAATAAATAGAGTGAAGTGCATTAAATGGCCTTTCAGCTATATTAAAACCGATAAAAGAAAACTCCTAGTCATATGGAGCCTTTTCCCACCTACTGGCTCAAATCAACCACAACATGATCATTAGTCCTCCTTAACGTACTTTGTTAGGCTTCTGTGACGTCACCCGGCTGTGAGCACCACACCGAAGACTTTCCCTCCAACAACCCGTACCTCCACATCGCCGCCTGCGACTTCGCAACGATCACCCGACCTCCCCAGAATAGTCCTTGACAGTGATGCGCCACTTATCTCAAGATGGCCGAAAGATCGGCCTCCCGCGACTCGAACCCTCCTATTCCCTTCGCCAGCGACGCTGATAAGGGCAAATCAAGCCGAGATCTTTCACCAGTATTTCCACTTCTCAACAACGACGAAACGGCGAAAGCTCTATCCTCAGATGCCGCGACGCAGAACCGTGCCGGCGAGGATGACGTCGACGAGGAGCCCGCGGTCGCAAAGCCCTTTGTCAGAACGTCAAGTCCCGACTCTGCAGCCCGGGCAGCGGACGCGTATGATGAAAAGGGTCCAGATCGCCTCGATCGAAAGATGCACAAGTTCAGTCTGTACGAGACAGCTACGCGGTACTACATTGTCGGGGGAGATGTGACAGAGAGGCGATACCGCATTCTTAAGATTGAAAGAACAACAGATGACTCGGAGCTGAGCATTACGGACGACAAGATCATCTACAGCCAAAAGGAAATGAATCAGTTACTGGATACCATCGACGACGGCAACAAAGGCACGGGTGGTATCAAACTGCGTTGCACTGCTTGGGGCCTGCTGGGCTTCATCAAGTTCACTGGACCGTACTACATGCTCCTAATTACGAAGAAGAGCACAGTGGCCATGATCGGTGGACATTACATATACCAAGTTGATGGTACAGAGTTGGTGCCGCTGACACCGAATCGATTCAAGGCCGACGTTCGCAACACTGAAGAGTCCCGGTTCTTGGGTATATTGAATAACCTGGATCTTACTAGGTCATTCTACTACAGCTATTCGTACGACATCACACGCACGCTGCAGCACAATCTCACGAGGGAGCGCGAAGCGCTTGCGCGTGGATTTCCGGGAGCCATGAATGACTTCAACGGCATGTTCGTCTGGAACCATCATCTGCTGCAGCCAGCCATCAAGGCACTCAAGGATCCCTTTGACTGGTGTCATCCCATCATCCACGGCTACATTGACCAAGCTGGTGAGTACTTGCAACTGCCGCGATTCGGACAAATGGATATCTAACGGACTGCGCATCGTAGCCTTATCAATATACGGACGCACAGCATACATTACTATCATTGCTCGGCGATCTCGTTTCTTTGCTGGTGCAAGGTTCCTCAAACGGGGGGCCAACGACCTCGTGAGCTTGCCCGGCTAGTACCTCGCCTGGTAATGCGGCTGACACTTTGCGAATAGGGTTACGTTGCAAACGATGTCGAGACAGAGCAAGTAGTTTCAGAAGCCTTGACAACTTCGTTCCATGCTCCGGGTCACAGGCTCTTCTCTAGCCCGCAGTACACTTCTTATGTTCAGCACCGGGGAAGCATCCCCCTATATTGGACGCAGGATAACACGGGCGTGACACCAAAACCACCCATCGAGTTAAACCTCGTTGATCCATTCTACAGCGCCGCCGCCCTTCATTTCGATAACCTGTTCGAGCGCTACGGCGCTCCCATCTACGTACTGAATCTTGTCAAAGCAAGAGAACGGACGCCACGGGAGTCCAAACTGTTGCTGGAATACACAAATGCAATCAACTACCTGAACCAGTTCCTACCAGAAGGTCGCAAGATCATTCACAAGGCGTGGGATATGAGTCGAGCGGCGAAGAGTCGCGACCAGGACGTCATAGGTACACTGGAACGCATTGCTGAGGACGTCGTCACCACAACCGGATTCTTCCACGACGGCGACGGCAAGGTGTATCCAACCAGCGTTCAAAATGGCGTGGCCCGAACCAACTGTATAGACTGCCTCGACCGAACCAATGCCGCACAATTCGTCATTGGGAAAAGGGCCCTAGGCCATCAGCTTCACGCACTTGGCATTCTCGAAGACACTTCCATAAACTACGATACAGATGCCGTCAATCTCTTTACTCACATGTATCACGATCATGGTGACACCATTGCTGTGCAGTATGGCGGCTCCCAGCTCGTCAATACCATGGAGACATACCGCAAGATCAATCAGTGGACGAGTCATTCTCGCGACATGATTGAGAGCTTCAAGAGGTATTACAACAATTCTTTCCTAGATGGACAGCGCCAGGAGGCCTACAACCTCTTCCTCGGCAACTACATATTTGCCCAAGGGCAGCCAATGCTGTGGGACCTCGCGACTGACTACTACCTTCATCACGCGGACCCGCGTGCCTGGTCCGAGAAGACGAAGCGAAACTACATCAACTGGTATACTGCCGAGAACCTGCAGGAAAGGAGTTTCCCGCCCTACTTACCGCCTCCTGGCGAGGAAAAGAAAAAGCCAGTATCCCATTTTGATGATTACTGGGTTGAATACTACCGCCCATCCACGCTCTCGTCATTTCTGAAAATGTTTCCCTACAAAATGAACTCGACCATCAAGTACATACCCTTCAAATCCACGCAAGATGGACGGTATGACTTGAGTCCCTTCCGGGTTCGCAACGAGACTGATATGGACGCCCATGAGAAGAAGAAGCCCAAGAAGGAGGTGACAATCGTCGACCCACAAGACCTGAAGTCCCCTCGGGACATTGATGCTGTATCGGTCATATCAGATCGTACGGCAGGCGGCAAGGGGATCTCTATCCACCGCTGGCTTCAGCCAATGCAGGATAGAGTGACTGGGCACCACGGAATCATGAAAGAGACCCATGCAGAGCCCCAAGATCTGTCAAAGATCAAGCCCACGGCCCAGGAGAAGACGAAAGCGGCTCAGTGGACCTTCACGAAGGCTGTTAGCGAGTCCCTCAATCCATCTGTGAGCCAGCAGGAGGCTGAGGACTACGAGCGGTACATCAGCCATCCCCAAAGCCTGCCGCTAGTAGTGTCGGCCGAGACGATCCAGGCAGAAAACCAATCTGAGTACCAGCACTATGTCCAGAGTAGTTGGCAGAGTGACGCAATAACGCCTGTCGGCACCGAGGAGGATATCGCTGTATATGCGGAGCTGCTCAAGGTTGGCAGCAATCCTCTTACTGTCACCGAGGAGGATGCTCAGAAGAAGCGATACAAGGCCTATAGGAAATGGCTTCGAGGCAAGTCATTCTTCAAGCAGCAGCCACTTGATTGAGGTCAGGTCCGCTCTTTGCTTCATCTGCCACCACCGCCCCATCCTCCTGGTCCCCAAACAAGTCCTCGAGTCTAGGTTCCACAGCTAGCAATGCCGAAACGTAAGGCTTCAGAGGCAGATCGGCCGCTGCAAAGATGGCGCGCAATATGGGCGTAAGTTTGGAGACTTCAGCTAGAGCTTCTTCAGTCGCCGCATTCTCCGGCCCGCTCGTATGCTCATTGAGCACATTCAACCAACAAACACTGATCGATCTCAGCACTTCACCTGCGTGTGATTTGTCTGAGATTCTTGGCCAGCAATTCACCATGATAGCACCCAATGCCTGCGCGGCCGCTTGTATGCTGCTAGGATGAGAAGCGAGGAATGGGTCTGTCATGATTGCAGAAACCATGGACAGGAGCTCCTATGTAAGAGTCAGCAAGCGAACAATCATGCTGGAGATATATAGAGTTGCCTTCAAATGTGTCGTGGCAAAGATGCCGAGTTCGCTGACGATGGAAGTCGTTTGTCGAGCAAGTAGTTGAACAATTCCAATAAACTCGGACGCTTGCCAATAGCCTGTAAAAACCCCCTCCCTAAGCAAGCGAGTAAGAAGTTTGTCCTTTTTATCTCTGTCACTCGCTCCAGGAAACTGTATCTTGGCAAGCTGGATGATTGCACCATATGCCGGATCAAGTAGCATGAGAGACTCTTTCTCGGGCGTCAGAGTTGGCAGGGAGAGTAGAGAGGGGAAGACGGATTGTTCAAAAATGTCACCCAGGCCGGTTTGGACGAGGACCTTGGCTGGACATTTAACGAGAAAGTCGCCTAGAATGGTAAGGCCCCTTGCTTTGAACTTCGTGTCCGAGTCGTCCAAGAGAGCGAGAAGAACTGGAGTGAACAACGGCCAGCTTTTTTCGACCAACGCATCCTGTAGAGAATTGGGTGTTAGCCGTCCGTTCCAGGAACATGACTACCCGATGTTGAAAGCGTGACCAACATCAGCTTGTTCCACAGCCCAGGAAAGTACTGTAATGGCGTGGACTTGAGTGGTTTTCCAAGGTTTCGCGTCATCGGTATCAGCGAAAACGCCAGGAGTAAAGCGGTCCTGGCTGTCATCGGCGAAATGAGCCTTCCTGCCCGTAGAAGTGATGCGACTAGAGCTTGTCCGTGAGAAGATGGGCCGAATAAAGCGCTCCAGCACTACAGAGTTGATGAACGCATGCTTTTGGGCATCATCCAAAGAATGACTCAAGATCTCTTTGGCATAAATCTCGGCATCGACGGTCGTCCAGGTTTCGTTGCGATCGGTGTATGCAGCGATGGCAATCAGATTCTGGTCGTCAAGTGATAGGTAAAACCTGAGGACAAGACTCCTCAAGATATCTAACGCCTGCTCCGCAAGCGTTGGGTCATTGTTCAGCAGCGAGCCGGGAGAGTGTCTCAGGAGGCCCAGTGCATGGCTAGAAAGCTGTCTGATGGACGCCTGGTCTTGTGCCCCTTGGTCGATGCGGTCGGCATTCCTGAGACAGAGCGCAAGAGCACTGAGAGTGTCGACTTGTGGCTGCTAATGGCAATGAGTAACTGTGTAAGACGAATGAGAGTGGGTGAATAGGTCAAACCCACCAAATGCTCGACCTTCGAGAAGTCTTCTGCGAGGTCGGTAACAGTATATCGTTCTGGTAAATCTGTGACTTGTGTCAGGTTCTGGTATCCAGTGAAGCACTGCTTTGGCCGTGGGAAAATTCGAACCTCTATCGACATTGAACTCAACAGAGCTGGAGGTAGCTCGCTGCAGGGCCTTGACCACGTCGGAAAGCATAGCGAGCGATGGTGAGGCCAAGCGAATGTGGACGGTGGTGTCTGCGGATCGTGTGACAGATTTGTTGACCAGTAGCCTGGCATCTTCGTCTGCCTAGGTAGGTGGCTAATTGTGAATCAACGTTGGTGTCTCTCTGATTCTCAGTAACAGCATTAGGCGGGCACAGTGAGAGTGGAATTAGTGTGTGCGGCCTCCGGGTGGGTGGGTGGTCATACAGTACATATACAGTATCACAAACTGTGCGCACTGAGCATGCTTCTCCAATGTTTTTCAAGTTCGAAAGTACGTAGGAGGGCAGTCGAGGACCGCATCGTGATAGATAGGAGAAATGGATATGGAATGACCCCCATTAAGAGAGAGGGCAAGTATTCAACGAATACTTTTACTAGCAATAATCCCTTGGCTTCAACAATCAACTGGTCTATTCGGGTATTTCATGCCGATCCTTCATCTACTTTTGCCTGCCCTGAAACAACTTTCCCTCGCCGTTACTCCTTTGTCAGACAGATTCTTTTCTTCTTCTTCTTCTTCTAAGCTCCGAGCAGGTCGAAGTCTTCATCCGACAAATGGTGCGAAGCCCAACTGTGTTAATCATGTAGGAAGCCCTTCGATCCCCAGTTCAAGTGCTCGCCGTCGCACCTCCTCAATCGCTCCAGCCGGCTCAGTCTCGTCTGGATGACAAAGTTGCCAGGCAACGCAAACCTCCAAGGCCTGGCCCATCCACTTACCGGGGCGAACACCAAGCTCTTTTCCCAGCAATCGGCCGTCCACCAGGCGCGTCAGCGAAGGTGCGTCCATGACATCCAGATCAGCAAGGTGGTCCAGGAACCGCTGCCAGCCTGAAAAAAACTCCTTCCTATCTGTGGCGGAATGAGCAATCTTTCCAGAGACAAGCTACGGTGAGTAGGAAAGTGGGGGTGCTTACCGGTGGTTGAGTCAGATGGCAACTTTTCAATGGCCTCGACAAGTAAGGCATAGAGTACCTGGACTCGCCAGTGGCCTCCATGGCTGTCCCACTTGCGAATCGCCATACCAACGGTGCTCCTTTCGGTAGTCCTAGATTTACCGGCACCAAAGCCTTGCTTCATACCAAGAATTTCAGCGCGATGGCGATATGCTGCAGTGATGACATCGCATAGCTTGTTAGGGGCCTTGATGCCTTCCCGGGCAACCAACGTAGTAAGAGGCACGGTACCCCTAGCCTTTGGTAGTGGTACTTCCTCTCTTACGTGGGAGTACGGGGTAACTGCAGCCAGATTCCACGCAAAGTATGCAGCTTCGTCGGATGTGACGAGAACGTCATAGATTGATCTCGGAACCTTGTCATGAGCGAGGCTGTCAAGGACATCGTAGGCCAATCTCCACTTGGAGAGGTCTGGGGACGGGTTTTCTCTTTCACTGGAATCCGTGAAGATGGCCTCGTACAGATTGAGAGTTCGAATCAGGTCCAGAGACATGTGTGGGTTCTTACCTGCTCCAGCACAAAACCATACAGGTCAGTTGAGAAATTCATCAAGAAAGTTAAGCACAGGCAGACGAACCCTTCAGCATCTTCTCCATCTCGACACCAACCCTCTCGCGGCTGATTTTAAGCTTCAGAGCGTCCAGAACTTGAGGGTCGGCCATGACCGCAGTGGCAGCAGGGTCGATTGAAAAGTCAAGACGACTGGCGAAGCGGAGCAACCTCAGGACTCTGAGAGGATCGTCTGTAAAAGTTTGGAAAGGTTCCATAGGTGTGCGGATCAGGCGAGAATCCATGTCTGTGAGTCCTCCGGTCAGATCTTCGACCAGTCCGGTGTGTAAATTGTAAAAGAGGGCGTTAATGGTGGCATCGCGGCGCAGGGCATCTTCTTCGGCAGTGCCAAACTCCATTGTAGGATTGCGACTGTCCTGAGTGTACGTCTCCTTGCGCAAATTGACAAAGTCGACGTCGAGACCAAACATGCGCGTGGTCGCTGTCTCGAGATGCTTCGACTTGTCGGGATTCGCAGCAATCCTGTGGAGGCTGCCCATATCATCGGGACCAATGTTGTGCTTCCTTGTATGCTCTTCCAGAGCACAGTAGTTGCGCAGCTCCAGACTAAAGGCATAGCCAGTCATGGCATTGATGGCGGTATCAATATCATGACTCTCTATGCCAAGGAGTTTGTCACGAACCCAGCCCCCAGCCCATCGAAGGACCAGGGGCTCAGGTGAACGACCGGCTCCATCGATGAAAGCAGCAACATCAACCAAAAGGTCCCTCAATTGCTGCTCTTTGGGAGTAAGACTGAGTTTTGGGGGATCACTTGCAGTGGTAAAGTTTTCGATAATCGCGGCAGCAACGGGGGTTGTCATCTTGGATGGCGAAGAGGCAGACGGACGGCCCACAAACGCATCAAAGTTCCTCTTCATGAGGTAAGGGTACAAGGATGCGCGCGGCACCGAGCAGCGGTTCCAGGTCGAGACAGATCGAGGTCGAGCACAGGCACGTAGCATGACACGACAGGCCTGATAGTTGAAAGGTGTCGAGTCGGCGTATGCGCCAGTGAAGGGAGTCGAGGGGTAGAACGTGCGCCGCGTTAGACCATGGGCCGTAATCCTTTGGTTTCGAAATAGAGTCCTTCTGGTCTCACTCCAGAAGCAGCTCTAGCTTGACTAGCTGGGGTGGTGGTGGTGGTGGTGGTGGTAGCAGTGGTGATGGAGGCGGAGGCGCGAGCACAAGCGCGGTTGCATGAGGTACGGCAAGGGTGCAGCACAGGCTTTAAGGCAAGCAGCCTAAGTGCCAGGATCGTCAAAGGAAGTTGATGAGTGGTGGGTTGGTGTTGTGGATACAGCTTCGGGCTGCAAACATGAGAGAGGGTCTGTATGATGCAAGGCCGCACCGGGGTTCGAGGTAACGGTGAGCTCAAGATGAAAAGTCGATACGAGTGGCTGGTGCGCGGTTAGCTGATGGTAAGGTTGGCGCAGGGCGTCAGGGTGATGAGATGAGACAGGCGGCGACAAGTTGAGATGAGTATTCGTGAGTGAAGAACAATGAGTCAAGGCAAGGACGTCAGGACTTGGTGTCAAAAGATGGATCATTGGGGACAAATGGTGCGAAGGTCACTAAGATGCTGGCTTGAATTACCGCTCATTTTCGGGGCGATATGTGTGATGTACTCAAATAAGCCATGATGACTTTAGGATTTTGACTCACAACTTGCCATAGGTACGTAGTTAGCCGAGGGAGGTTCTGCAATTAGACCAACCGATCTGTTATTTGCTTTGAATCCCTTCAGTCGATAGTAAAAAGAGAAAAGGAAGGAATTGCAACTTGTGCCAGAGGGTGGAAGTAGGTGTGCAACGCACCGACGAAAACCTAACTCTGGCAGGCAATGGTGGCTAACAATGAGTCTTCGTTCAGTAATTAGAGTAGGAGTTGCCCATGTGAATGTTTACGTAAGGAATCGCCCGAGAGTGATTATGTAACACACAGAGTCTGAGTTGACGTCGTTTCAAAGTATCCAAACTCAAGTGGGCCTTCCTTCCTACCTCATCCAATTGGTTTGCATCGTCTCTGCACTTCAACCGGGACTTTACCTTACTACCTTATCACGCTTACCTTATTTAACTAACCTGGCTCTGGCTATTGTTAACTAAGCTTCCCATGTCATCTGATCGTTCAGGGATAAGGCTCGCGCGGACAGAGATGGGGTTGTGAAATGCCCAACTGTTTGCAAGACCAAGTATTTCCACAGTTGCTCACCCTCTGTCAAAGCATGGCGACGAGGGTGGTTGGGCATTGCCGTCGTGTACGGAGTAGGGTCTTGAGGGCCTCTTGTCCAAAACACACCGTCAGCTTCAGCCCCAAACCCATCACTTAGCGATACGACGTCTGGCGGACCTGAAATTCAGGCAAGGCTAGGATACTAGGTACGATGGAGGTCCATCTCCCGCCAGATCTTGCCAGGAGCAGATCCAAACCTCTCCCTGCTTGACTACTTGGGAGATTTTCCCCAGGGGATTGCATGATCATGGCACTAGGTTGGCCAAGATAGGCTTAGTTCCCGTCCACCACGTTCCCGCCCATCTTTAACCTTGATTGTCCTTCTGTTTGATCATCCGCTGGCATTACCTTAGTACTTGACTGTGTACGATTAGGCACGGCAATTACCGTCACCAGCCTATTTCCCCTTTGGTTGGCCTACGAGGATTATACATCACACTGTCGTTGTCACCGGCTGGCGGAACGATCCGAGGCAGTTTGTCTCCCATGGCCTTGCAGGAAAAGCCAACGGGATCGATTCCGTACCTTAGCTCTATCGCATACAAGAGAAAGGCCCATGCGATTGGCCCCGCAATCATGGGTTTGGCAACTTCGTTTCATACAACATCGGTGCGCAGCCCACGCCGCCTGTTCCAAACGATGCCTGTCTCACTAGGTTCGGCGCCCTTGCCAACCACCTACCTTGCCTGACCTTACCTGGTACCTTGCTACGTTTATCCGTTACTCATCTTCCGGGCCGTCTTCCAATCGCACTGAGAATGTGAACTTGCTGTCTACTTAGTAGTCAGCGACTTCAATACTCGAAAGCATCTCGTCCGTTGGTCGGTGCGTGCTGGTAGCATATGCGGGTGGCAAAGACCCATCTCTAACTTCATCTCGTTCTTAGTAATCCGCGGCACGTCTAGCTCTAACGGCCACCCTTTTGTGTGAGACCCGGTAAGACTCTCAAGCGTGTCTACATAGTGGCTTGACGCTGATACGTCACAGGAACCTTCTTCCTGGAATTCCAGCCTATCGTATACGAATTCAACTGCAAAGGATGAGATTCGAAGGTGCCTCTATGCACGTATGGCTTGCTCCCGCATCGACGCGCTGCACATGGTAGCCAACATATGTGCAACCGACCTCGTCCGGCATAGCTACTGTTAGCTACTGGCCACTTTGTCTGGGTGGGTATGCAATCGCCGCATGAGAGCACTTGCCGCGCCTCCCTATCACGTACATGGAACGACTACGACCTCCACGTTTCTTCTCCCCTGAGTGCGACAAGCAGGCATCATGGCTATGACTCAAGAACTGAAAGATGTCAGGACAGAAATAACATCTTGAGGTGCTTTCGGCAACCGCCATAGTCCACAGTAGCCTCCCCTTTGCCATCGATTCCTCTACCTTGGTGGCCGTCGCTCGATGCTTGGTGCCCTCTGGGAACCCTGCATCGTGACGAGCGTTAGGAGACTGCAGGGTCATCGTCCCTTACCTTCGCTTTGACTAGCATTGAACCGCGCTACGGCACTGTATAACAGCAGCTTCTAACGCGTGTCCTACCATCGGCTGCATGACTTGCCGGTTTGCCAGCCGTTGAACCTGTGCGCGGCTCATGATCGACCTTGACTCGACTCGGCTCGACCCGACTGGCTTAGGCAGAGGCCAAGTTACTCGAATTCGTACTGCCTCACCAGCCATCTGTGCGTGCGTGGTCTCTCGCCGTTGTCAGCCGCAGCGGTTTGACCCATCTGCATATGCTGTCTTTTTCCAACGTTGGTCGACAACATATCTTTCCATTCACGCTGTCTACCTACTGATGCATTTGCTATACTGGGCTATGAGTATCTACTCGGGGTTTCTACTCAGGGTTATCCACGCCATGGTGGTAGATCGTCTCTGCCCGTGCGTTCGCAGTTGACTGCAGGTTCGATCCAATTGGGCTACCAACTCCTGGGCTCGTTCTTACATCCCCCTTGCAACAATCACGTCGTACTCCGGTGTTCTGGATCCGGTTTGGACGCTCCCGCTCAGTGGATCGAAACAGCCGTACATCTCCGCATCAAACACGCACGAGGCATGGTCTTTGTTTGCTAGGTCTATCGCTACAGGCCTGATTACCATGGCCTTGCCCCCAGTTGCCTCGCCCTCAGCTGGCCGGGCCGTCACAATCCCCATGCTTGTCTTGGTCTTGGGGAACAAAAACAAGGCCAGCAAGATCCTTGTTAGGTTCATATTGGTACTGTTTAACTCCGATGTAACCCAGCAGCAATCTTTGGCTAGGTCGTGTATCCCGTGCTTCGCCAGCTTGTGAGCCCAGTCGATTTCACTCATGGAATACTGTGGGACTTTCAACGACGGGCTAGTTGCAGTATACATTCACAACGTCAGTCTTTACTGTCTTTTCATAGACAGGCTGAAAGCCGTTCTCCGTCAGGGCGAGCTACTGCCTCTATCTGACCGACTCCATGCACATGGACTGTAGAATTGCAGGTCATTCTCCTGCGTATGGCAATACCGTCGTTCGTACCTTCAACTAGGTGGACGGTGCATATGATTACTCGCCAACCCCCTTCATCTAGACTGGGTCAAAATAAGGTCGCGGGCTCGGACTATTCCAGCTGACATTCGGCCACACCAACTCCGGAACCTTGCGGCCATCCCTGCTATGGCGGCCTCATGTTGCACACGCCCCTGGCCCGAGGTTCGCATGAGGCTCTGCTCGTGGCCTTGCCACAGCCCGACTATGTGGATACAACTTCTAGCGAGCCACAACAGCCGCGTGGAAGGTACTTCGGTGCATGTGCACGCTCCTTTGGCTGTAGTGATACCACCCCAGGATCTCGCATTGAGGCTCTATTGCGAAAACATGTTTGGCTTGGCGGTTTAGGATGTCGGATGGAAATTCGACCAACGTCCTCCGAGTATCAGAGGAGAAGGTAGGAGAAGCACTCCGGAGTCTCACTAAGGCGCGTAAGGGTAACGGGATGCAGACATGCGCGTCGTCTCGACATCAGACAGACTACCATCTACTGGCCGATTACTCCCAAAGGGATGCTGCCAACCTAGCGTGCCTAGGTATAAAGACGATCTAACCTCCGGTCTCAATCCGCTCGTATTCTTCTTCCCCATCCAGCATTCAGCAGTCTTTTAGTTATCCGACCACTTCTCTCCTTCCAATCATTTGTATTGTATAATATATCCCTGCCGGCCAGGACTTACCTTCTCTCACATCACAATGTCTTCCATCAAGAGCATTTTCGCCATCGGCCTTTTGGCCACTGCCGACATTGTTGCCGGCCACGCTGCCATCATCGGCGCCACCGGTGATGCCGGCGGTCAGGGCATGGCTCTTGGAATCGACTCCAGCACTCCCCGTGACGGAACACGCCGTGATCCCTTCCAGGCCGATAGCACTCGCTTCAAGGGCGAGGCTGCCGATACCTTCGGCGAGACTGTTGGAGCCGGAACCAACAACCTTGAGACCGGCACCAAGGCCATGATGGCCGAGACCGGCACCATGCTTCCCCAGATTTCTGCTGGCGGTTCCGTCGACATGACTCTGCACCAGGTCAACGGCGACGGTGGTGGTGAGTATTCGCTCGAACTCTCTTGCTGCTTTGCCCTCAACTAACACCTATTAAAGGCCCCTACGACTGCATGATCAACGCTGATGCCACCGGAGCCACCTGGACCAACATCAACGTCGTCACCACTCCCCCGGGCCAGAACTCCCGCAACCGTGATGGTGCTATGACCGACTTCCCCCTCAAGGCGGCCATCCCTGCCGACCAGGCTTGCACTGGTACCGTCGCTGGCCAGAGCAACGTCTGCTTGGTTCGTTGCCAGAACGCTGCGCGTGCCGGTCCCTTCGGCGGTATCGTCCCTGTCCAGATGGCTGGCACCACCACGCCTGCCGCTGCCCGCCGCAACTTGATGCTCGCCGTCAAGCGCTCCGATGAGCTCCTCAACAAGATGATCAAGCGTGCCCAGACCCCCTCGGCCGCACCTGAGGACGACGCCGCTTACCTGGCCGAGCTCCGCGCCGATGGCGAGGAGATCTAAATGGTTGCTGCCTTGAGAGAATCTGGGATCACCACGAGGGTCAAAACAGAGATCCGCGGAGGCAGGATGGACAGGCGATGAAGAGAGGCTGTTAACTGATGCTGATGCTGATGCCTTTCACTTGTATCTGAGGTGCTTGACTGTGTCTCGACACCCATAGTACACAATTACATTCTCTGACTGCTGCTCACTATGATTTACTTTGGTATCTTGGCATGTGACGTGAATGTGCGCATTATTACTCTGTCGAAGCTATTGCTCACTTACACACAACACTGCTCACATTAGCCGGGATGAAGAACTTCTAAATATATGAGTGCTCAATATACTATCTTGTGTAGGCAGTGTATGTGAGGGTGAGATCCACTTGCTACCCGAAACGAGAAAGCACTAGAGACGACTGGTGTGTAGAAGAGAAATGCAAGAACATGGGCGAGTGAAATAGATGGAGGGCTCAAGCAAAATGACTCCAAGAAAGGAAAGGGGTGGGCACGATACTAGGTAGTAGATGCAGAATGAGGGAATCATAGAACCCAATCCCAATCTACCTTCGACT